AAAACGCAGCGCCCGTGAGCGTAGGCCACCGGGAGCTACAGCAGGCACCAAAAAAATTAAAAGTTAATTCTCGGTTAATAAAACCCGAAACATCAACATCTCTACCCACACACACACACACACAAAATGGAAAGTGGATTACATCCAGAGTGAGTTTTATGTATTTAAGACATAATCGTTCAGATCCTATAAAATAATAGGACAAGGTTCATGACTGCTTTAAGGAATTTTGAGCTTTATGGTTTAAACCAACGCCTTCTAAGTCTGTCTAACAATTGTCTTGACTGACATACAGTTATTTTTTACAGCGTCTGTAGTTCTTCAATATTATTAATGCCACGCGTGGACATTTATCTGATTCCTTAGAGACAAAAATAATAGCCTGGCCTTGTTTCTTTGAGGACTAAGAAAAATGAAAAAGACGTTAAGTAAATATGGAATAAATGAAAATATTTCTACGAGTTTTTTTAGGAAATTGTTAACGACATTTAGTTATTAATGAGAAAAATATTTTATGTAAGGGAATTCTTAAAACGACGAGCGACTTATTTTATAAATTCGTCAAAATTAAAATTAAACGTTACACATAAGAATATTAAGTTGCCAGTTCTCCACTACATCACGTAAGTACAATTCATAAACACAGAGTTTCGGAAGTTGTCCCTACTGCCATCCTCCGGTATACTGACATTTTTCTTTTCTTTTTTTTACATTTTATACCACAAAAGTATTCAACAGTCCCAGAGTTCGACGACAAACACCACCATTAAAGTTACCACAAAAATAACAACAAAAATTTGTGAGTAGAATTACAACGAATCACGTAAATACGGAATTAGTGCGGACTACCGAAACGTCGCGTAATCTGAGCCTGGAAAGATTACGATTAGGGCATTTTTGTTCATTATCATTACATCTAAAAAAAATACATTATAATTTGTGGTTGTTAACGAAATGCAAATTCTGTCTGGGTCGCAAATTCGTACAAAATGCGGCAGAAAGTGGAAAAGGAGACAATATTTTGAAATCTTTTGTGGCCGACAGTCTTCTGTTTTGGGCCACGTCACTACGTGATAAGACGACCAATGCCTGATTTAGGAGACGCCATGTGATCTGTTGCTTAAGTTACTGAAACCGCTCAATAATACATCGTTGAAGCGTTAGTCAGATGTCTGTTTAGATGAGATCGAAGAAAAAGAATGACAATTCACGTGTAAACAACTGCTTCAGTTTGTGCTATAAAACTGGTCTCTAAAGAATTTATTATCCGTGTTATAAAGCATATAAATAATCCTACAGTCTGACGCAAAACTTTTTTTGCCCGATGTAATTTTACTTCCAGGTAACATTAGAACATTAACATGTATTCACCAGCTCGACATCTCGGAGAACAGGAACCGCGCTAAACTAATTGCCAACATTTCTTCTCGAACAGAGAATGATTATGTCAGATTATATCACATCTTGCACCGAGAAAAAATATTCTGATCTGACGCGTAGAATGTAAAAGGCCGGCTGCCAAAATGAGCTATTAAAAACATACAACTGGCACACACCGTGAGGACCATACAGCAATACAGCGACACCAAAATGAAACTCGCAAAATTTTAACACATCTCCAGACGCCACGAATAAAATAAAACAGAAAATCTAGACGAATTACTTAGCTTTACGAAAGGCCGTTCATCCCAAATGAGAAGAGATTAATTTCACATAAAAATATACAAGCACACTTTAAAAAAAAACTACAGTTGTCGACTCAATTACTACGTGATTTTACACAGACACATTTGTATATATTAACACAGCAGGAGAAATTGAAGAATTTACATCACATATCATGTCGCCATGGTTACGGCTGAACCAAATACGAGGCGCGTCCACAAAGTAAGTTTCCCACTCGTCCCACAGCTAGCAAACCTTATATTGCGCGAAGCGACTGTGCGTACGTGATAGAGCAATGACGTAGAATGGCGCATGCACTAACGGCACTTCCCGCGTTCTCACAGTAGCATCGTTGCAGCTGTTGAAGATGGAGGTTCTTATTCCAGCTCCCGCCGACTGTGAAGTGCGGTCAGTGATAACGCTAGGCCGCACACGACTCGACGGACAGCAAGTCTCCTGCAGGAGTTCAGCTGGGAGGTGTTTAATCATCCACCCTACAGCCCGGACCTCGCTCCCAGTGATTTCCATCTTTTCCTACACCTCAAGAAATTCCTGTCCGGTCAGCGTCAGCGTCAGCGTTTTGAGAATGACAGAGAGGCGGAGATGGTGGTCACACAGTGGTTCCAATCCCAGGCGGCAGACTTCTACGACACAGGTATTAAAAGTTGGTCAACTGTCCAATACAAACATGACAAAAATAAATTATTATTTTTTTGTTTCAGGATTAGTGAGCCTCGAAGTACAAAAAAATCTGAGATACTTAAACAGGATCCGACTTTAAAACAGCCAAAAACTTCACTAACGTGTTAATAAGACCCCATCATTTGATCACATCTTACGTCACTCTAATCCAAACCAACCAGCGCCTTCCGTTTAAGATACATTTTAATAATATATTTCCACCACTTCTGGGTGTTCGCAGTTGTCTCAGCATCTTCCATATCTTGCGTCGTATTCCTCCACAGCAACAAACTCTATTTCCGGAGGGATCCATGAGAAGAATGCAGTAACAATTTGAACACCTCAACACTTTCTTAAAGACTGAGGAAAACCAAGAAAACCTACATCGAGGTGTCCTGTCACAGGACAATCCGGATGCAAACTCATTACTTTCGGACTAAAACCTTGCACTTATTTCTCACCAGTGTCATAAAATTAAGGATCACGAGATGGGAAAGTCATTTTGGTTGCATAAAAGAAA